TTTACCAGCGTCCTCCGAGCTCTCAGTTCGTAAATCAAAAGAAAAACTATTCTCTTAGATCTTGTAAGGCCGGCTAAAGTGTTGTGTAACTACTGAACAGTTTTTGATGACTGGTGCTGCTTTTTTTTCAGCAGGAAGGGTATCTTCGCTTTGTGGGGTTTCATAGCTTTTTTCGTAGGTCAGGCAGGGATTTTTCTTAGAAGTATTAGTTTTAGCAGTGATGGCACATGCTGAGTGCTTTTTGAGCAATATATCAGGGCTTTTTTTTATTTTTTATTGGAAAACATTGAAACAAGCTATTTTAGCTGTACTGTTGTGAGAAACATCAATTTTCATTTCTAGCCATTTTAGGAGTAGCATCGCTGAGTGCAGTAATTTGAGTTGAAAAGGCATTTTTGAGTCTCTGGTCGTATGAAGCATCTCATTGCAATGAAGTTTCAATGGCTTTATTGCGTCCTGTGCTTTATAGACAACCCTCCAATTTCACTTCAGAATAAATTTTTTATCCGAATTGTAGACCAGTAGGAATTGTTCCAAATACACTTTTTAGAAAAAAAGGAAAGCACTGGTACTTTTTTAACTCAGTTTTAAGGTCTATTTGTTACGTTTTTTGTGATTGCCTAGTAAGAAGAGATAAAGAAAGGTTATTTGAAAGTGCAGCAAGTGTCGAGTTGATTTTTAATGAGTTTAATTCTGTGTGCAATTCCAGTAGTTGATATTTTTCAAGTTAATTTACTTTTAGTCAAGAGATCAGTCAGGAGTTTTCGCTTCCTGATAGTATTTGTTTTTACTCAAGTAATTTGGTATGATGTGTCAGTAGTATTTATAAATACTTGTTTTTCTATTCGTTTTCTGAGAGGGAATTGTAATGTACTACGTAAAAGATGCGTCGAGTCGTTTTAGGTATTCACGAGGTGGACAAAATTTCTAGTCGATTCATGGGAAAGTTTGGTTTGTGACTGTAACGCAAGTCATTTTATTCGTTCGATAGTTCGCATTATTGTTGGATTACCGAGAAGGGGATCTCTGGACGACACTGTGGTTCCAGATGATCCAGTTTCAAGGAGAGAAGTTGTAAAGAGGTTTCATGCTAATAGCTCGGTGAAATGTTGCTTTGAGTCTTTCGCTAATGCTGCTCTTGACTTTCTTGGGATGAAAGGTACGATGTTTATGCTTTATGTTCATCTTTTTTTTTTTTTTTTTTTTTTTTTTTTTTTTTT